GGGGGGGGGGGGGGGGGGGGGTACGTGTGCCACCCGCTTCCCCAAATCCTGACCCTATTTCAGACCAAAAAATGTTATTTTCTAGACCCGTTTTTAGACCCGGCCTCTTAACTCCATACCCGTTTTCAGACCTCGTATAGGTAGATTTAGACGAGCTCTTAGACACAACCTCTTCTGTAAGGGCTAATGTTTACTATAGAGGCTTTGACTGGTAAGCACCTTGTTCTTACTTTGCCCAGGCCTCTGCTGACAATAATTATCATGATAATTGTAGAGCTCAGGGGAAGGCGCAGACAGATACCCAGTGTCCTGGCTGGGGAGGGTGAAATTTTTAGTACCAAAGACATTCTTAGCTGTGGATCTGTAGACACTCACTGAAGCCATTATTACATAAATTCAGTCAGATGTAGATTTGTCCTTTTTTAGGGTGAAAACTAGTCTGCGCTTGTTCCTGTTTAAACAGCCGCTAGCTGAACTTGCAATTTTATTCAAATTGTAATGCTTTGTACATGTACATAATCGCTGCTTTGCTGACCTGGCTTGTCCTTTATTCAGTACTTTTTAAAATAGCAACAGTACCAAAAGACTCCAAGTTAAAAATAGATTTTGTTTTTAGTTTTCATTTAATTCTATTAAGCGATTTCTCTTTGGATTTCTCTTGTTCTCTTTTGTCTTCAGGGGTTGTAAAAATCATATATAAGTAAGCTAGTTTTTACTGTTTTTTTATTAAATTGCTGATTTCATCGCGGATTTCAGAGCTGATACATTGCTGATTACCTTGCCGTGTATAGCCAGGGTTATAACTAGTTAATTTACCGAGAATGAGAATAAATGCTATTAGAACCAAAGTCTAGTTCTGTTTTATCCACGGCCTTACCAGTTAGCAGTTTGATCCCGATTCAATAACAGAGAAGTGACGGCTCTCTACCGCGCGCGCCCAAAGCGAGATTTCCCCCAGTTTTATCGAGCGTTAAGCACCGATTTCTCACTAAGCCTCCAATTTGTTTCAAAGTGGAAAAACCACCCTTCCCAATATACATATTACAAAAAAGTCATTTTACTTTATTATCCTTGTTTGTTTGTGTTTTTTTTTTTTCGCCAATTAACATGGAAATCACTAAAAATGAGATTTGCAGCTTTAACCCTCGGACGTACAAGGAGGGGGAGGGGGAAGGGGGTCACGTACAAGTACCAGATGGTCAAGCCAATTTTGGGTGAAAATACATGTTTTCAAAACTTGTTTCAACAATAAAAGTAAACCTTGAGGCTAACATCATGCAAAGTACTTACTAATTTTTCATGTAAAGCACAAAAAAATAACATTTCTCGCGGTTTTAACCTTATTTCTAATTTCTGGTAAAATCCAAGATGGCGACCGTTGTTGGTGACGTCAGAGGCCTCCAGCAGCGCCACCACCACTAAAATGTACCTCATCTTGTTTTTCCACTAAAGGGAAGATCATTTCAAAATACTGCAACTTTTCTTTCAGGATTTGCGTATTCGCGTACAACAGTAGCCGTAGTTATGGGCCTTTTTGTTATCTGCTGGACTCCATTTTTTGGCATGAAATTCGTGTTCGCGGTTTGTATAGCCACACTGTTCAAGAGAGCCTATTGTCCAGGCCTTATGACTTTGCCAACGTGGATTCTTTCGGTACACAAGTGGCTTCAGTAGGGAAATTTGGTTTGCAATCCCGTCATTAATAGTTTCCGCAACAAAGCTTTTCGGCAAGCGTTTAGAAAAATTTTACTCGGACTGTGCTGTAAAAAGGTGCGGCTCTCAGATTACAGCAAGAGCGCATACGGACGTACGGTACGAAGCGCTCACTTACAGCGAGAATCAAGCTTTGAAAACTCTCGAACAGTCATCATCTCCCCTCCCAACTTACCGCTTGGAATGTTTGACATGCGGGACAGCTACCGTAAGGCGATACAAAGCGGACGCAGCAAGCCGAATTAGCTTAAATTTACACCAAAGAAAAGTGTGGCAAATGGTCTGCTATCGATAAACGTTAACGCCTTTCGCACTTCAAATCAATTTACTTCCAGTACGAGTGTCTGGAATTCGTCTTCCGAGGCTTCCGTCTCTCCAGCGGAGCTTTGTAACCCTGCCTTCGAGGAGGACGATCAAACCGATATCTGCCCTATTGATCAGGCGGTACCAGTGAGAGATTCTAACGATAACATCTCCTCCGAATCAACTAATTCTATGTATAAGAGTTACTCAAAAGGATCGGTGGATAGCGACCAAGCCTATGTTCGATTTTCGAATTCCAAAACCAAAGAAAAGGAGAGCGACTGCAAAATCGTTGCTAACGTTGGTTCTGTTTTGAACAGGGAAAGGTCATTATCGGAGATATTTCTACTTACGACCAGTGCAAAAGACAGTCTTAAAAGAAAACTGCGGCCGTAATTTTCTTAGAAATACTTCACGGATAGTAAAGAAAACGTTAACCTTGATCTATACACTGAAACTCAGTCAGCATACTGTGCTAATCACAGCACCGAAACTACCTTTGGTGAGACTGGGGCTGGCATGCGTAGCGAGTAGACGTGTTTTCGAGAGCTCCGCTCTGGTTATTGAGTTAATTTTCTGGCAGCCTGCATTTCTTGTATATGGAAACCATCCTTTCTTCTTTGAAACGTACAATATCAGAGAGAAGCAATTCAGATTCGTCTGAGTCAAGTTCTCCGCAGGAAAAGCGTTCAAAGAGTTTAGCCGAGGAAGACGAGGTTCTCCAAGCCTTAAACATGGCCGGTAACGTTAGTGAAAAACTCGATAAAATTCTTGGGGAACTTAAGAAACTGGAGAAACTCGATGCAATTGAGGCAACGTTGAAGGATTTAACAAGCAGATTGGGGAACGTCGAATCAACTATCGACAAGATGAAAGAAGACGCACGTGCTGTGGAAAGTTCGATCAAAGGTATGGATAAGAGTCTTACATATCTCAACAAAGAAGTTGAAGAGCTTCGTGGAACGGTAGAAGACAAGGATAAGCAAATAGAATATTTG